CTCTCTCTCTCTCTCTCAAAAATAAACATTAACAAAATTTTTTTTAATTTAAAAACTGCACCAAAATTAGGAATTGAGGTAAATCCAATCATTATGGAAAAAGCACAATGGCATTCTGCTAACTGGTCCTGGACAGTCCTCAGCACTCACTCAGCTTTGCATAGCTTCTGCCAAGCTTCATGGAATTTCACCGGGTCCTCGGTTTCGGTGGTCTGCTCCAGATCAAAGGAGTCTATGTACTAAAAAACATCCAACAGATTAAAAGAACATTTAAGAAAAGTGATACTCAAAAATACTAGAGGCATCTAACATTGTGACCCAATTATTCAATGACTACTTATTATGCAAAAGAGAATGCTGTGGAAATAACTGGAAGCCGCACTTAATCTAGACCCAGACACTGCAGGAAAGATGGGAAGGAGCACCATCGGGAAAGTCTCTAGGGGGCTGATGTCCAAGAAGCTCAGCCCTGGAGGATGAGCATGCGCAGACAAGTTGGGAGGCCATCAGGAAGGTGTGTGGGAGACACGGGGAGGTGGGGTGGGGGTGGAACAGCTTGTATGAAACCTCAGAGTAAAGACAGAAAGGGGTGGTCACTCTGGGGCCCTCAAAAGACACTCCACTGAGGGAGAGGAGAAGTTGACGCTTGAAGCCATTGGAAGGTCTTAAGGAACACAGAGAACAGAGAGGGATTTTAGAAGGATCACTGTGCTACAATGTGGAAAATGGAGGGAAAACAGCAAACCCGTCGGGAAGCCAGGCGAGGTAAACACAGAAGCAAAGTGGTCTGAAAAGAATATGACAAGACCATGATTCAAACAGTACTTCGCAGAAGCGAATGTCAACAAATTCTGTCAACCGAGAAATCACGTACAAACTACTCCTAGGTACATAACAGTCCCTAGAGACCTATACTATTCTAGTATTTATTCTGTAAAAATTACTATCTGAATATATCTTAACATACAAAATTTTAAAGGCTTTATAAAGTTTGCGGTCTAACAATTTTTCTCTTGCTGTTTTCTTTTTTCTACGAGGGGGTGGGGGACTTGGATGAGCAGGAAGAGCAAGAAGAGAAGTAAGTATTCCTTGGAAAACCACAAATCAAAAGTGATCATGAAAGGAAGGGGCTAGACAGGTGAGAGAAAAGTCACATAAGTCCTTAGTTGGAAGTTATGAAATTTCTCAGATGTATAAATGTATCTTTTTGGTCATTATATAAAGGTTCACCATTTAAATCAAGATAATAAGGCTTGTTTAAACCACAGTATAACTGTATAGAATATCATTAAGTATAACATATATATAGATAGATAGATAGATAGATACACATACATACATATATATGCATATATATGTATGTGTGTATTTATCTAGAAAAATATACACATATGTGTGTATTTGTCTACAAAGATATGCATTAAACTGGTAATGACAGGTACAAGAGAGAAGTAGGATTTCAGGAAGGAAGGACCTTCTACTTTCTGCCTTTCATACGACGCTTTATTTAAATTTCCTACACTAAGCATGTACAACTTCCATATCTAACAAAGACAAAGAATATACTCAAGCTGCAAATATGAATTCCCCCAGACCTCCCATACATCTTTTCCCTTTGCTGACTTTGCTCTCTCTCCTTTCAGTTATTAAATCTTAGCCACAAGTCCAGCTATGTGCTGAGTAGTGTGAGTCCTCCTGGTGACATCAATCCTGGAGGCTGTCTTGGGGATCCTTCGACACAACCTGCCTCTGAAACACGAGATGTCACAGCGAATGACTGAAATATATGGAAGAACAGCTGGGGCTCACCATCAGATTCAACTTGTGGTTGATGGCCAACGCAGAATGTTCTAGGGCTTTGAACACAGAGGCGTAGCAGTCCCTGAGCTTGGTGTATTTGCCAACCAGGGCTATGGAGCACGTTTTCTGCAATCGTTCATACCTGAGATGAAAGACAAGTTTAAAGGTTATATGCATGTAATATAACATCACAAACACAATGACAGCCACTGTTCTTTTCCCAAGGCACTTTTTAAAAACCTTAAGGGCAGATGAGCCTCGAACTGGATGTACTTGACTCAAATCCCCACCCCACCCCCAATGAATGAAAATCTGTGGGCCAACAGATTGCAAAATCATAAGAAACCCCAATATTGGCCTATATAAGCCGGCACAGATATAAATCCAAGGAAACAGTATCAGAGAAAAAGCTAAAAGCATTAAAAATAAAAAAGCTCTCCCCATCTCATAAACATGAGCTGTCCTTAAATTCGTTTATAAGGTGACACTGTATAAGAAAATGCGTTGTGAATGTCAACAGGAAACATTTCAATATTAACTTTGTAAGGTGACATTATATAAGAAAATGCGTTCAAACTGTCTAATGTTAAAAATGGTTACAGTCCCAGCTGGCCCACAAAAGCCAGGTTATTCGTGGCATGCCTGAAGAATGGCACTAAGAGAACTCTTTAAACTATTCCAAGCCATTTAGATCAGTTTTATGAGAAAATGCCATTCTACATAAGATGCTTAATCACATTTTACCATTAAAGACACGACGTTTACTGTTGCTTTTGTTACCAAATCTGTTCAACGAACCTGAAAATTGTTTAGTCTGGTACTACATACGTAGAAATGTCATCTAGGGGCTGAAGATGATTAGGGTGATCCCCAAACACCTTAGAAGAGAAAGGTTGCCATGAGCGGGAGTCCTCTTTCCTACCAACATCTGCTAAGTGTGCCAGAGAAATGTGATCGCAGGCAGGTGAGGAGGAGAAAAATGCCCAAGAAGCTAAGGAGTCAAAACTGACAGTAAAGGTGGCTTTCTGGGAAAGTGACTGAAGCACCTGGGAAAAGCCTACTAAATCTTTAGCTCGCTCCTGAATTTTACGTCGCTCTGGAGATTGCGTGGCTGCCCGGGCTTCACCCCATCGCTGCAGAAAGGACACAGGTGACAAAGCAAGTGGCATCGAGGCAAGATTCCGATACCAAGTCAGAGGAAAGCGCTTCCCGCGCCAGATTTGGCCCCAGGGAACTGGCGATCGTGACCCCATCAGAGCACAGCGGCCGGGCTGAGCCCTTACCCTTGGGTCTCACCCCTCTATTGAAGGAGGGACGTTGGCTCCGGTCCCGGGAAGGAAGCAGGACTGGGGTCAACACTACCAGCTCCTCCTTCTAGTCACTCAGTCTGGTCTATCCGGGGGAGGAGGAGTCACTCGGCAGCTGGGTGAGACAGGGAAGTCCACTGGGCCACCCGTCCCAGGGAGAAGGGCTGCCATTGGGAAAGGATATGTATCCTGAGCCCACTCCCCTCGTACTCTTTCCCTCTTGGGGCTGCAGGCGAGGCTCCCGGAGCCCTGTCCAGACCAGCCCAGCTCCCACATGCTCTCCACTCGGCCAGTAACTAGGTGTGAGAGGCCAGCCACAGAGGCTGCCATGAGCCACTCCGTAGGCTCACCCCACAGGCAGGTCCCCGGGGAGGCGAAGCCACCTCCAATTTGGGCGGAGGTCCCAGGCGAGCTCTGCCATCCAGTTCAGCCAGGGACCCCTGGCCTCTGAGCAGCACTGGACTTCCATGAATGAGCCTGCCCTGTGACCTCGATTTGCTTTCTTATAGCTGTCTACATACCACCATTACCAATAAACCAACAGCACCACAAGGGACCGATGCTCAGTATCCCTTTTGCTTAAAGACCGCAGTGAGCTGAATGGTGGCCTCCAAAGACATATGTCCCCCAGAACCTGTGGATGTGTCCATATTTGGAAGGAGGGTCTTTATGGATACAATTATGTCAAGGATCTTGAGATGAGATCATCCTGGATTAGGATGGGCCCTAAATCCAAAGACAAGCATCCTTATGCAAGCAGAGAGGAGGAGGGGAAAAAGAAGGAGGAGGAAGAGGAAGAGGAGGAAATGGAGAAGGAGAGGAGAGACACAGAGAAGGCCATGCAATGACAGAGCCGGAAACTGGGGTGACATGGCCACGAGCCAAGGGACACCAGGGATTCCCGGCAGCCCCAGAAGCTGGAACAGTTTCTCCCTCAGTGCCTCCAGAAGAAACCAACCCTGCTGAAGCCTTGATTGTGAATTTCTGACGTCCACAACTGTGAGAGAATGAATTTCTCATATTTTATGCGGCCCAGTTTGTGGTAATTTGTTTCAGCAGCCACAGGAAACTAATAGGAAAACCAAACCCTGGCTTTAAAAAGCACAGCAGCATAGAGTAATTTAGAGTTATTTCCAATAAAAAGAGTTAAACATTCAAATTTCTAGTGCTTAAAGAGGATCAGCCCCAAGCTACTCAGAAAATTCCTGTAAAGCGACTGATTCCTTAACTGTATCGTCATTCAGTAGAGCACCTGAGTTCCGAAACTGCACTTTATTCCTGATTTTACTTGCCCCAGCAATTCTAAAACTCTTTTTAAAGTTTTAAGTGAGAGGGCAAGAGAACTTCAAACTACTGGTCATCTACCAAAGGCAGTCATTTTGTTACCATCAAACCATTTTAATTATTGTTACCAACCTCAGTAACACTGAGGAACCAATACCCAGGGCCCAATGCGAGACTAAGGTTTAATGTGTTTTCTCTCAGAATTATCTCAATGTGGGTACTAGTATCCCACTGTTATATATGGATGCGAAAGCAGGTCCAGAGAGGTTGAGTAATCCACCCAAACTCACGCAGCTAGTGAGAGGAAAAGCTGGGGCCTGAATGCAGAGTTCCTGATGCCAGAGCTTACATTTTCTTATTGAGATATAAGTGACATATAACATTATATTGGTTTCAGGTATACAACATAATGATTCAATATTTGTGTATGTGTGTTTGTCACTGTTGCACCTGTTGCCTCTACCTAAGTTGCACAAAAATCCAGCAGTCAGGACTTCACAGAGTTAGGCCTTGTCTACATCTAGTAAAACAAACAGGTGATAGGGATTTAATTTCCATATGGCTTCAAATGAGGCAAACCTTGTTGAAATTAATACCGTTGTCTTGGGGCGCCTGGGTGGCGCAGTCGGTTAAGCGTCCGACTTCAGCCAGGTCACGATCTCGCGGTCCGTGAGTTCGAGCCCCGCGTCAGGCTCTGGGCTGATGGCTCAGAGCCTGGAGCCTGTTTCCGACTCTGTGTCTCCCTCTCTCTCTGCCCCTCCCCCGTTCATGCTCTGTCTCTCTCTGTCCCAAAAATAAATAAACGTTGAAAAAAAAAAATTAAAAAAAAAAAAATACCGTTGTCTTAAAGCTAGAACCTATCTATCTGAGGTTTTGATAACAATGCTGATAGTTAATAACTGCACGAGGGAACAATAATGATATAGCCTAAACTTCTCATTCAAAGGGATTTTTGGGGTGCCTCACTGGCTCAGTCAGAAGAGCATGCAATTCTTGGTCTCGGGGCTCTAAGTTCAAGGCCCACAGTGGGGGTAGAGATTACTAAAAAATAAATAAACTTAAAAAACAAAGCAAAACAAACAACAATAACAAAAACCCGTGACATTTAAACCTGTTTAAAATATTCAGAAACGGGGTGGCAGGGATGAAAAAATATATATATTCAGAAACTGGGTGCCTGGGTGGCTCAGAGGTTAAATGTCTGACTCTTGATTTCGGCTCAGGTCATGATCTCATGGTTCGTGAGTTCGTGCCCCACGTTGGGCTCTGTGCTGGCAGCATGGAGCCTGCTTGGGATTCTCTCTCTCCCTCTCTCTGCCCCCCTGCTCATGCTCTCTCTCTCTCTCTTAAAATAAATAAATTTTTAAAAAAGGAAAAAAGTTTAAAAATATAAAATATGTATTCAGAAAACTAAGAAATAAACTAATAAATCAAAATGCTTCCAGAATTAACAACAACAACAAAAAATCATTCCAGAATCCAAATTCTTTCAATTCACTTTCATTTAAGTAGAAAAAAATCAAAAGCCCCAGAATCTTCAAAGAATATAGCAAAACACTCTAACAATGTGTTAAAGCTTTAGATAAATCCAGACCAAAACATATACAGACAGAAAGCGGAATGTGACATAGATATCCTTCAAGCTATGTCTCAGTCCTACCCCAAAACCAAAGAATTATTCAAGATTACATTAGTAATTCCTTTCACGTACCTGTCAGCCATATTTCTCCACTTGAAAAGCAAATTACTTGCAGAATCACCAATGGGCAGATCCAATCTCTCTTTAAAATATTTGACAATGCCTTGTTCCTCCAAAAGCACAGGTACTCGATATGTAGAAGAAACATCATGGATACATATGACCTGATTAATAATGATAAAACACCATATTTAAATGGAACACCTCAAATATGCCTCAAGAATGAGCCAAAACTCAAGAGACATGGTAGTTCATTTATATTGATTGAGGAAAAGCAAGAGCCCAGTGACCCAAACAAGAGGCAGAATTAATACAAGCTTACTTTGATCTAATCATAAAACTCTTTGAACTCCTTATTCTAAATTGGGAAACGTGGATGCTGTGGTAGTGTGTGTATATATATATATATATACACACATAGACTTTGCTCTCAATTTCTGGCACAAAGCTTTAAAAACCTTTGGAATTTCCTGACAGGGGTAGGGTTATCTTTGTCATGCTAATGAAGTGACTCATGGTGGCCCCTAGATGGCTTCAGGATGGGAGTTGGTCACCAGAAAACCCAACCAAGTTAGGCTAGAACTTTCAGCCACTTGACTTCTGAGGACAGTAAGGGGGCTGGAGCATGAGTTCAGTCATGTGACCAATGGTTTACTCAACCAAGCCTATATCATGAAACCCCTATTAAAAAAATTCTGGACACCAAGACTCAGGGGACTGTCCCGGTTGGTACACATACAGATGTACCAGGATGGTGGCACAGCCTGACTCCATGGGGACAAAAGTTTCTGCACTTGGGATCCTCCTAGGCCTTGCCCTACGTATCTCTTCATCTGGCCGTTCATTTGCACTCTTTATAATAAAATGACAATAGTAAGAATAGCATTTTCCTGAGTTCCATGAATCGTTCTAGAGAATTATCGAACCTGAAGGGGTTATGGAAAGCCCCAAATTAGCAGTCAACCAGGCAGGAGTGGAGGTGGCTTGGGAACACTGGAAACTTTGGTGTCTGAAGTTGGGGGGGAAGTCTTGTAAAGAATTCAGCCCCTGGGGCACCTGGATGGCTCAGTCGGTTAAGCGTCCGACTTTGGCTCAGGTCATGATCTCACAGCTCGTGAGTTCGAGCCCCGCTTCGGGCTCTATGCTGACAGCTCAGAGCCTGGAGCCTGCTTCTGTTTCTGTGTCTCCCTCTCTCTCTCTGCCCCTTCCCTGCTTGTGCTCTGTCTCTCAAAAATAAACATTAAAAAAATTAAAAAACAAACAAACAAACAAAAAAAACCTCAGCCCTCAAATCTGTGGAGTCTGATGCTCACTCCAGGTAGTTAGTGTCAGCGTTGAAGTGCAGGACCCCAGCTGGTGTCAGAGAATTGGTGTTGGAACACGGATGCTTTATGTGTCAATATCTAAGACATCTGGCCCAAGGCATCACCTTCTAAGTCTAGGCTAAAGCAGTAACACTGAACACGTACACTGTGTCTTCTAAATGTGGGTATGTGGTTCGCTTGTGCATTCATTTGTTGCTGTTGCTGCTGGTGTAGTGCTTTTGTCTACTCCCTTCATTTGGATACATTTCCAACTACATATTGAACCCAGTCAAATTAATTACACCTGTTAGAGGAGAATGGCTCCTTTAAATGTCAGGTGCTATGGTTGTTTTTCACATCTATCCTAACGAACTTTCATCACCCTCTTAAGTACATCCGAGGGGCTGCTGGCAGGCATTTGAGGGTCTGCCACATTCTAACTCAATGCCAAAGAAATGTTCTTCTAACTCTGTGTGTTCAGTCTCCCCAAATCCATTGCCAAATCCACCCAAGGGTTCCTAAGCTGTTTGGACATCACCAACTTGATACTTAGAGGACTTTTGGGCCTCACTTGGAACAAAGAAATGGGAGCATTAACTCACATCAGAAAAAAATAATGTGCTGAAAAATGGCTAATAAACTAGCCTGTGGACTGATAGGATAGGGCATTCTTCAGAATCTATGGTCCTGTAGAAAACAGGCTCTGTGTGGTCAGAAATTTGCATTCTTCTGTTCTCAAAGCTCTCAGTAACCCAACTCTGAAAACTGTATCCTCCTTCCATTTCAGTAACCAAGTTGTATTTATACAACACAGACACAAAGTACTATGTACCAGTAGAAAGGATACAAAAAACAACAGAACAAAACCAAAGTGGCTTGATGACATACAAATACAGGAGAGTCCTTCAAACCTGCCATCACATTTTTCAAAATAGTTCAGACGTGTGTGCTGACCCTGAAGCATTAGACAGGAGGCCGTGCACGAGACTGCCTCCAGAGATACAGAAATCCAATTAGAGGGTTTTAGGCTTCAAAGAACCCAGAGCTAATCTGAAGAAAACAAAAGGTTCCTGCCAAACCTCACCCTTTTCCTGAGTGCCATTCATATCACTTTGTAAACTATAGCAACTCTGATCCCTTACACCTAAGCCTCATTGCAAACAAGAGACAGATAAGAGAATGAAAGAAAAAAGAAAAAGCTCTCAGATACCCAAATGGAAAGTCCTGCAGGACAGAGGACGTGAGCCCAAATCACCATACAGTTTCTGTAGCAATGAACTGAACTGAGACCACTGATGTAATCAGAAGTGATAGTGTGAATGTCAGTGTAACGTGTGGTCTGGATGGAGCGAGCTGTAACACATACAAAGGAGAAATCGCAGTGAAAGCAGTAAGTGTCCCGGAAAGACAAGATAAACAGACGATAAGCAGGCTTCACATGGTTCTCTCTCTAGAGGTTTGACTGTAAGTTAAAAAGCCCACCTGGCTTTGTACCTGTAACTTGAGGAGTGACTATGCAAGGAAACATGTGATCTACCTAAGGAATCAGGAGTCTCTCACATTGTTCACTTCAGGGCAAGGGAGCTGTGGCTGGATATGAATCTCCCAAAGCTTTCATAAATGCCATGAAAAGTAATATGATAATTGAAGAGATGCAAAACACTAGCATCAGCAGAAGTGCCTGCAAAGCAATAAAATCGAAAGAGCAGCACTAACCTGTTCAGGGTTCACATGACAAAACATTGAAATCTTTTCCTTCACGGCCATTTCGATAGGCGTTGAACTCCGGCAGACAATCTGTCAATGTCAGTTTTGCACAGGTCAGCAAGCAGGAACCCAGCTGTTTGTCCCACCATTAGTTTTCAGGAGGATGCTATATTAATCTCTTCTTTCAACCAGAGACCTGACCAAGTATGTAGCTGTTCATTCTGGGTATTCCACCGGACTCGTAGAAACACCTGAGCACTGATATAAGCCAGTATAATCAAACTCAACACAAATCTACCAGTAAGAACTCAAAATGTCCAGGCATCTCTAGTAAACAAGAGGGAAGGCTCACAAACGTTGCTTCTTTAGATATAAGAACAGAGCTTGGCCAGGGGTTGGCAAACTTTTTCTCTAAAGGGCTAGAGAGTAAACATTTTAGGTTTTGCAAGTCAAGAAGTGACTGTCCTGACTACTCAGTTGTAGCAGTGCAGTACGAAGGCAGCTGTGGACAAATGTAAGCAACAGATGATACCATGTTCCAATAAAACTTTATTTATGGGCAGGAGGCCTGCAGGCCCTTATTTGCTAACCTCTGATCTAGACTATTCTGGTGATAACTGGATGACCTGTTATAAATAAGAGCAGTGACAGCCCACCCTAGTGGGTCTCAGGAAAATCTCAAAGGTCCCACCTCACTCTAAAAGACCTAAGGACCATAAAAATGACAAGACGTTGCACTTGCCCAGCTGTCAATGTGGCCAATTGCATGAGGACCCTGAGGAGAACAGAGCACCAGTTTAGAAATGTGTGAAGCTACCCTTGAGGATATGGGACTGTCCCTCCCCTGGCCCCCAGAGACACGAAGTTCAATGTCAAAGGAAACATTTGAGAGATAGAAAGGACTTAGATGATGCTATAGATCAAGAAACGGAAGTCCTATTCCAAGAAATTTACTCACTCTCCTTAACTCACCAGATCAGGAGACAGGCCTAACCCTCTCAGCGCACGGACACTGTTTTGTGTGGGTTTGGTTTTTTGTTCTCCAGTAGCACTGGGCTGAAAAGAGATGGGTCACTGTCAGTATATTGGATATTTAGCTCGTCTAGATAATGAATGGCTCCCTAGCTTAAAATATGGAATAAATAGACAGAGAGTTTCTCTTTTGCTGTCCTGCCCACTGCTCCCTTGCAGTGTATTCAATAAACTTCTATCTCCTTTTTAAAAATGTGGAACAAATAGAATATCATAGGAAGACTTTTAGAAGTTGCTGTCTACAGGGCTGCCTGGGTGGCTCAGTTGGTTAAGCGTCCAACTCTTGATTTCAGCTCAAGTCATGATCTCACAAACTGTGAGACTGAGCCCGGAGGCAGGCTTTGTGCTGGCAGCGTGGAGCCTGTTTGGGATTCTCTCTGTCCCTCTCTCTCTGCTCCTGCCCCACACATGTGCACGCTCTCTTTCTCTATTAGAAAATTAAAAAAAAAAAAAAAAAGATGAAAGAAAGAAAAAAGAAAGAATTT